TTTGAGTCTCTGGAACACTGAGTCAACAGGGACACGTTAACTGGAGCCCTCTGACCTTGGGATAACTGTGCTGTCCTTCCCAGGTAAAGGAAAATGTGCTTTCTAAGACTAGTATGACCACAACCCATGGGATATTCACATAACAATCAATAAGGCATTTAATCGAATGGGATGATTTATATAATTCAGAAAACCAAAATAACCTGTCCATTGTTAAACAAAGCAAATAGGTACATAAGCCAAACAGCAGGGTTAAAGTTAAACTATAATTTCTACCTGAGATGGTTGCTACCATACTTCAATAGTACAGAATACTTCTATTATAATAGCAAGAGGAGCTATGCTGACCTGCTCCTAAGTGAAACGTGAAAATTGCTTCAAAAAAACACAACATTTACGCCGAAACCGGTTTGGCTCAGTGGATAGAGTGTTGGCCTGTGGACTGAAAGGTCCCAGGTTCGATTCCGGTCAAGGGCATGTACCTTGATTGTGGGCACATCCCCAGTGGGGAGTGTGCAGGAAGCAGCTGATCAATGTTTCTAACTCTCTATCTCTCTCCCTTCCTCTCTGTAAAAAATAAATAAAATATAAAAAAAAACACAAAAAAACCACAACATTTAATACATATAGAAGTAGTACTAAGGACAAACAGCAAATAAAATATCTATTCAAGAAAAATTAGAAAATTCTGCAACAAAGGCAAGAGTATTTGAACAAAGACAACTTCCTATCACCCTGCTACCAGCTCAAATCTTCGACTCTCTATTTGGAAACAAAATTAAATATACAAGCTGAATATACAAATCTCTGGATGCAAGAACACAAAAGACTGCCATATTTAAAATAAAATTTAAATAAAGGCTTTTGAACTCAGCTGAACACAAGCTGATATATTAACTCAGTCAGAACTTACGATATAAGTTTTTAGTCCTCAGAGTATTAACTAAACATATAACTATTTTTCCAACCTTAAATTTGTAGATTCCTTCTCTGTTTCTCAAGGCACACAGATCATAAACACGTGTGTCACTCCTAATTATAGTTACAGAAAACGCCACCAGGATGATAGTGTCACATTCATTTCTGTCAATATAAAAGAAATTATTTTTCCTAAAGACCTATAAAATCCTCTATTTAAACGTTTTTCAGTACAAAAGCAGACAAGTGGCTGTTCACTTTCCAAAGCTACATCATTTACTCCTCACCACAGAGGAGGCCATGCCAGCATACAAACCCTCGTGGTACTGAGTAATGGGGAAGAATGTCAAGGCAATGGCCTTGTAAAAAAGAATTTCTATACAATCCCTATGAGAACAACAAACAACATTAATGACACAATGTTTAGGGGAAAAAATTTTTTTATTTAAAGAACAAATGATTTACGACGTTACTCTGAACATAGCGTGACTAAAACACACACACACACACACACATATTATACAGGTGCTGGGGTCCAACCCCAGCAGGTCCAGGGGTCCCCAAAGGTGTGGACGGAGTTGGCGAAGAAGGAATGACACGGAGGCAGCGTTCAGTTGATCAGCAGCCTAGCCAGGATCTCTAGCCAAGTTCTGGTCAGGATCTCCAGCGAAGTTCTGGTTGGGATCTCCAGACAGGTTCTGTGTCCATGTTCTCTTGCTAGGTTCTCCAGCCAGGTTCTCCAGGTTCTCCAGCCAGGTTCTGTAGCCATATTCCCTCGCTAGGTTCTCCAGCCAGGTTCTGTCACCAGGTTCTATGTTTTATTGTCTTGTTACATCTGTATTTATACCAGTTGATTTTAAACCTATTAATTTCGATTCCAAAGGTTAGGACATTTCTTATCTCTATTCCAGGGAGCTACCCGCCTGGCACTTAGTTAAGGGGTTTTATCCCCTCCCTAACTTCAGGGAAAAATCCCTACCTGGGGAAACAACCTTTCTCGGAGAGGTGACCTTGGTTAAAACACATAGCGCCAAGAAGGTGAGCAAACATTAAGAACAGTATGCCATATATGCCAGGTTCCTTGAAACAGCAAGGATGGACCGGCTCCCGGCATACAGGCATTCATTTTCAAAGTATGCACCTTTAACAGCAAACCTCAACTCATCACAGAAATTAGAATGGTTTGGAGAAGTGATTTTAGCGAACTAAATTATCTCTTTAAACATAGACTTTGTAATGATTTAAGTTTTTGGTTGAAAATCATATCAAAATGAAACATAATATCCCCGTATGTTTTCAAAAGCAATTACAAAGTACGCTGACTTGTTTACCCGAGTATTTGTGCCAAATGCAGATTCCTAGGCATCGCCTTCAAATTCTGATTCAATATATCTGGAGTGGGGTCCAGGCTCCATCCCCAGCCCTGGTCCTCGCGTGTGCAGAAGGCAGCATTTATATTTATGAATGCTTGAAAACTACTGTCCCAAAGGGATCTTCATTATGAACATCAATTGTACTATTGAGGAGATCAAAAAGGAGGGCTAGGCAATCAGGGACAGGACTAGGAAGGAGGGGGCGGAGACGGAGTGCTGTAGATAAGGGCAGACTGTATCACAAGACAAACAAAAGGACCTAGGACAGTGATGGCGAACCTATGACACGCGAACTCATTTTTTTGGTTGATTTTTCTTTGTTAAATGGCATTTAAATATATAAAATAAATATCAAAAATATGTCTTTGTTTTACTATGGTTGCAAATATCAAAAAATTTCTATATGTGAGACGGCACCAGAGTTAAGTTAGGGTTTTTCAAAATGCTGACACACCGAGCTCAAAAGGTTCGCCATCACTGACCTAGAACTAGACCCAGGTAGGCAGGAGTTGCTAAGGGGGGGAGGGGGAGGTAATTAGACCGCCTAGGTGGGAACAGTGATGTCATCTTGGACCTGAAGTGGCAGTCCTCAATCAGGTCCTTGAGCTTTGAAATGATTGGATATTGTGCAGGATTCTTTAAAGGACCAATCAGAAGCCAGCAGAGCACATACCTACCACTAGATTAGGAAGCTTCAGCGTAACCCACTTTGGGCCCCCTTCCTGCTGCCCCTTGCTGCAACCAACTTGGACCACCACATTTTGGGTTTCACTATAACATCGTGACCTCAGAGATCAGTGACACCTTCAAGCTATCTGCCTCCACGTTATGAAGCTCAGGTTTTGAGTTCTTACAACCCGTCTTGTTTTTAACA